TAGCAAACCGTTGATGTGGCAGGACGGTATCTCATTGTATTGGACCGAAATTGAGGAAGAGCGCATAGTTCCTTTCAACAAGTCGGCCGCAAAGTCCTGAGATAGTGTTATTGCAGGTTAGCAAAACGGGAGTTGCCTGCGACTCTACGACGCATTTGGAGCATGTAATGAGCGCCTGCCCCACTGCTCAATAAATACAGGGCAGTGGCGTCACCGATGGGGATATATGAATTTGATTGAAATCTATGGATCCATTTTATTTACTTATTTAGTTTTTACCAATAACTTCATGATTGTCTGAGGTATAAATGAATGAACATATGATTGGATTGCTTTTCACTGCCCACGTTCCGGCCACCAAGGTGTCAATTGTACTTGAAAAAGGCCACTCTTCTATCAGCATGGCAATTACAGGATAAGTTTCAGGTGTTACACTAGTTTTCACTTGTTTCTGGGAGGGAGGGAGCCTTTGCAGGAGAATCTAGCCGGCAATAGTTTTTCGTTCTATTCCGAAATTAATTATCTATTTTACGGTCATGTTAGAAGATAGCAGAGTACAAAGCTTTTGTTAGTCTACAATACATTTGTCTTGAGTCATCTTATAAGGGCTTGTTCCGTTGCGTTGCACATTAAATGCACACCAGTGACGTTACATATGTATTTAAACTTATGAGTGTATCTCTACCTCCGTCTAGTTCAGAGTCTCACTTATGTATAATGAGATTTCATTGCATATGAGCGAATAAAATGAAACTGCAACTAAGGCTTTTCATGTGGCTGTTTTTTGATGTATACAATGTCGCCTCAAGGATTTTGGACTAGCAGGTAATAAAAAATCAGTAAGAAAAACATAAAATAATAACACATATGTATTTATATGAATAACATGGTCCATATGTAAACGTACTTGGAGTTTCAAAAATGGAGCATTCTCATCATAGTTTATCATTAAACGTGAAGGGAAAAAATTACATGGTATCTAGCACCCCATCCCTCAAAAACGCCAATGCTTTCTTCCCTTTGATCTGTCTAATAAATAATTGAAGCCGATGATTGAAACACTGAAGCTTTGGCTGCTAAGACAGGTAGATAATCAGGTTTACTTTACTTGGGAGGTACCCGGTGCCGATAGATCTACTTGACTCCCCATTTTACCGATTGATCGTTGGCCGTATACCTTCCTATATACAGGGTGACTTCGAAGTTGAGTCATTTATTTTAACAGTGAGTAGATTGATCTGATCAAAAGAAATGTTTTTTCCTTTAACATTTCTGTGGTAAAATTAAAGTAACAAAGTTATAGCCCTTTAGAGGTTTGAGTACCGCCCTGTCTCAATAATAATATTATGTGCTCGTGTTTGGCAACAACGGATATAATCCGCCTTATCCGTTCATCGCATCGGATAAAAAAAGCGAAAGAATTTGAAACGCCTTATCACGATGTTTTTACTACAACTTTATTCAGTTGTATTCAGTCAATGTGTCAGTCGGTAACGCGTGAGTGAATAGTGGTGTTTGTTGCGTGGATCAAACGAAATAAAAAATGGCACATGTTTACGAAAATGCTGAACTTGTGGACATGATTCTTATTTACGGGGGGGGGAGTCTTTACAAAATGCTGCGGCGGCATCACGGATTTATGCGGATCGGTTTCCCAATCGAGTGCAACCAACCCCTCGTGCCTTTGTTAATGTAGGACAAAGGGCTCGTGCATCAGGTGACTTAAGACCTCACAGGGGAGGGCATGCTGGTGCTTCAAGACCGCACGATCAAATACAGTTCCGCAACTGAAATACTTGTCGGGAGGACACTTTATAAAACAAGGTAACATATTTTTTAATTTTTTTTTATTTTTACACACATATTTTGGTTTATCTTCCATCTACAATCATTATCTGAAAATTAATGACTCAACTTCAAAGTCAAGTCAAGTATGTATACACGAAAATCAGTACTTTCCGAGATGTTTCATTTTTTAACAACTTTTCAATGCATTTCTGTCTAAAGAATTTTGCAGTGTGTAAGAAGTACATGAGAATTCAATTTATTTTCGTAGTTATACTTGAAATCAGCTAGTACAATCATAAAAGGTACGAAAATAACTAACAGTTATTCGCACAATAAAATTGTCTTTGTGTTCAGCTTTCCTTCGAACAAAACTGTATCTAGCTCTAGAGCTTGTTAGTACAATAAGAGTACAATCTGCTGAAAAAACAACGAATCCATACAAACTACAACGCTTGAGCAAAACAGGATCTAAGTATACTACTGTCAGTGTTTGAAAAACATTCGGATATTTTTGCCTGCGTACCTTTTATCTTTTATTGTTATACCTCTTAATCTCTATACACCTTCTTCCTTGTCCTTTTTCCGCTATAGGCTTGTTCGTGAAATTATTGGTGACTTGTCGGTGACTGTGTCTGGGATCCAACCGTGTGAATTTCGTCTATATGGCCTATCAGAATGCACCGAATTTGTGTGGCGGGATCTTGGATACGATCACTGACAGGTTGGAGATGTAGGAACAGCAGGGCTTTGGTGACTCCTTTCTATTTTAACCACTACTTTTTTGACAAATTTATGTATTTATACTTAAACATCTTTTTAAATTTTGGTAATAATAGTATACTTATATAGGTGTATATGACTAGTCTTATATCATATCTATGATCCGAAGACAATAAACCATCTATCTGTCTTGCTGGTTTAGTCCGCTCATTAACAGCTCCACAGGCCCAGACTCCAATGATCTATGATCCAAATACGGCGATAATGCCTTTCATGATTATGTAGGGACACTGTTGAGGCACACTGAAATCACTTTCAGAGTCACTTAATTTTTTACGCCTTTGGAGCTATCGCAACAAAACAACTGAGAGCCCTTCTACATGAAACGTGACAAAATCAACAGACGCTCGTATTAATTACCATTTGTGAAAAACTAATGCATACTTATGGGAAGCATTACTTGGATTATTATTTGACCTAAATTGGTTTGATTGGCTAATGTTAAACTTATGATTTTATTCTGATGTTTAGTGTCTTTTTTTGGAAAGCTGGCCATAGCCAAGTTCTTAAGCAATTCGTATGCTCAATGTACTAGTAGTTTCCATAGCTATACTAATATATAGTTTGTAGTATTTTTGCATCTTTGATGATTGTATTATCTTAACTCAGGTATACGGGTATGCAACGGTAATCAATTGAATTCTCACGCATTTCTTATTCAGCTTTTGCACTCTTTATACTGAAATGCGCAATTTCTGCTGAACAATCTTGAAAACTATCGATGAAATTTGTTGCCCGGCAAACCTCTAGTAACCCTACTATATTTTCATGTTCCGTCTCTGTTATCACCAGAAGTCTTCGAAGTGGCCGGGAACAAGGGGAAATCTTGCCCTTTATTAAAGTTATAATCGCCCAACCAGAAATTAACTTTTCTCTGTCTGAGGGTCGCGCATCATACACGGGGAATAGAAAAATGGCAAGACGTGAAAGCACATTTCTGAAAAATTATCTATTAGGGTAAGACAGCGTTATATACAGTATGCTAGAATTAATACCACACATTTCAAGCATCATCGGGTATGAAGATTAGTAGGAATGGCGACATTAGCCGCCCGTGCAGCATTGGTAATGGGAGGACCTAGAGCAGGGTACTTGTATCCCGCGTCATTCTTGCTGCTTGTGATTGTGTAATAGTAGTGATAGCAGACTGTATATGATGTACTGTTAACAGAAGGAATTGCATCGAATAGATTGACTCGCTATTTCTCATGCTTTTGCAAGTGATTCCAACAAAACGACTTACAGAAATCATTTACCAGTGCTTTCAGATTTTTGCTGAACATGTATTTATTATAATAATTGAAAAAAAAGCTGTTTCCGCCCGGGATCGAACCGGGGACCTTCCGCGTGTTAGGCGGATGTGATAACCACTACACCACGGAAACGCTTGTGTGCTTGGAGCGAATATACGCGATACATTCTACGCCGCGCAGCCTGGCTACTTAAAATTTGAATTTAAGCTAAGACGCCAGCATAATGCATAATATTATGTTGACATTTAATAGACTAGACACTAAAAGCTAAATAACACTGATATACGTCCCAATAAATTAATTGAATATCGGACATTTGAGCAGTAAGCAGCAAGCGAAAGTAATATTGCAACTAATCGAACGAAAACAAGTTAGGACGACACTGTGACAATCATAACTTACTATAATTCTAGAAATAAGAACAATTGGATACAATTAGGGGTTATCACCCTTTTTACAAAGCAGCTCCCGTCACATACAAAGGAAATGTAGCAACTAATCATCGTTTTAAAAGAGGTTCTAACAAAGTAACGTTCCTACACTGCTGGAGTATTAAGTATAGCTTTTCCACGAATTAGGTACACTTTGGTAAAAAACATAATTACTATATTGTACTTGTGTCTTTTTATATGCATATTCTGTTCTATTCCTGTAAACTCAGCTCATCTAACGTCATTTGACGATGATCTGACCGACAGAGACGACTTGTACCGTATTTTGAGGCTTCTTAGTAGAAAGAAGTGTCAAAGATTTGAAGCTCGAGTCTTACTTTTGGGTGTCACTATTTCCGTAATGGAACTGTATACAAACCCAAATGCAAGCTGATTGCGTAGTTTTCGAATTTTTGAAAATATATTGTGTTGAGTAGGTACCTACATATAAAATGTAGGTAGCAGCTAATTGACAAAGCAACCAGCATCGTTCGATTATACAATATTTGTTTATAGTTTATTTTGAAACACACGTCATCTTAAGACTTCTTTTGCCAATTTTTGTTAGTTAATTCTATAATTCCCAAAGTTTAGCAATTGCAACCAGTGCAACAGAGATATGAAGGTCTTTTGTATATTTTAACCTCTTATAATAAGACTATATAGAGGGGCATGAACGCCCTCAGGCGGGAGGGGGGTGGTGGTCAGGAAGGGAATCCAGTTTAGCGTTAAATTTTGCATATTTAGCATGATTTTGGCTACAATTTTGAGGAAATTTAAGATTACCCTGGCAAAATTTACTACCCCCGCTCTTCAAAAAGTTTTTGGGATAGGTAAACTTTCACAAAAAGCTATCTCTTGCCGATGATATCCCCCTACTTGTAACATAAAGGAAAGCCTTAAGATATCCGAGTCTCGTATTTACGAGCAACATGTACTTGAAATTCCTTATCTTATGGAATATGACATTTGTGTATTGTGTATATGAAACCACATGGGTTTGAATTACGTTTTACAAACGACGTTTGGGCCAACATAGTGCCATTTTTCAAGTACAAATGACAAAGACAATATATCATTTTTTCTGTCTTCCAGATGACAGTTCATTTGTATTTTTTTCTCGCTACCATGCGCGCCAATTTACAGAACATTGTGTATATAGGTAAACTTTTTAATGAAGTTGGAAAGTTTAGCAAAGTGTTATTTTTGTTACAGATTTATACAGACTGGGCCAACCACTATCTGGAGAAAGCAAAGAGTAAGAAAAGGGTGCATTCTCTGGCTACTGATTGCAGCGACGGAGTCCTGTTAGCTGAAGTCATAGAGTCAGTCAGTAAGTAGACGATCTAATTCTTCTTGTAAATGCCTGACCATTGTTCATGTCTATCGTATTGGTTATGTTAGTATCAGAAAAGTGATTTCTAAGCTATCCAATTAACTTGCCTAGCATAATCAATTGAATATATTAGTTTTTTCCAACCTGTCGGAGAACCGTTCTATAACGGTGACGCGCATGCGCGCTCAGGCAAAACTTCCCAACAGTTTTCTTTATTGTAAGGTACGGTTCTGCACTTCGTTCCAACCAATGTTTGGATCGCTTTGGAACAGCTTTGTTACAGTGAACTCGGTACCTACAGTGAAAGGGGAAGCAAAGGAACTGACCTGCGCAGTAGTGCTGTTGTCCGGATATTATAGAGTAGCTAATAATCTCTCGGTTATTACCTCCAAGCAAACTGTAACCGTGCTCTGATAGCCTTGTGTATTTTCTATTTAAAGATAATTTATATGTATTGTCCAGCTTTCATTGCGATGAGTAGTGACGAAGGGGCTATCTGTCACTTTCTAAAATGATTTTAAAATCGTTCCAAACACCTTTCAGTCCAGAATGAGTTCTGGATTCATGACCAGTCAGCGCATGCGTACCAAATTATAACCGGATGGTTCTGGAGCTATACCAAGACTCAAGGTTGGAACAAATTTATTATATCCCTTTAGGTGGCGCATTGAATTACTAAAATATAGGGGTGAAACAAGCAGTATTTAAAAACGTTTTTTTCTGCTCTGTTTAATTTTTTTTCAAATTTTTTGATAATATTGGTAATCAAAATGATTCCTAGTAACAACCCTTCTCTGAAAGATAACCGCTTTCGAGTTATGAATTTGATAAAACTGAAAACGGCAATGTTCAATTCGAACCTTGCGTACGCTAGAGGAAGCGCGCGTACCTTATAGCGCGTAACTAACAACTGACTAACGTTTTAAAGTAAATTAAGCCCAGAATACTCTTTTTGCTCAAAGTGATCCAAAAACGTAAAAAAAATGTGCCTGGCGGAAAAAAAAAACAATTGTGATTTGTGCTAGAAAAATTATTAGAAGGACTCCTTCCCACGACTAATGGCGGGTATTTTTGTAATCGCGAAAATTTTCGAAAATGAGATATGTTTTCTGCAGGTTATATGACATCACGAAAAACCATGTCACTCATTTCCGTCGGTTTGTCTGTCTGTCTGTGTCGGATTGTCCGCAAATCTTATAACCGCGTATAACTTGATTTCGCTGAAATTTTTACACAATGTTACTACTATGCCAAGGATGGAAAAGCGTTATAGTTTTTTAAAACCGGCCCAGTGGTGGCAGAGAAAAATTCCTACAACAAAATAAGTAAAAACCGGTCAAACTTCGTTTTTTGACGTTTCAAAGGATTCTGATCATTTTTGAAAAAAATTACCGATAACAAATCTTGGGACTGGAGGTTGTGAGGGGGAGGGTTGTCCTCAATTTTTTGAAGCTGGTAAATTTATAAGCTTCCAGCATTGGTAATTCTACGCACCTGTTAGACATATTTCACAGATCATGATTTCTATGTACATGAGTCCTGAAAAATATTCTCGGGAGACGGATCGGGTATCTATCGGCCACGGCTGCTCCCGACGTCGTGCGCCGACTGTTTTGGTACCGAGTTTCACGTATTTCTATGCTACCACGGTGACATATCTGCCTGGGTTAGGTATAGGGGGCAGGGAAAGATTGTCGACGGACTAATTGTACGGACCTGTTTGACTGACTTTTTTCTCAGATGGTCTAGTTTATGCTGAACATATTCCTTGATGTACTGATAAGGGTGTTGCGTGTGAAGTGCAGAGTCAAAGTACTTGACACCATTTTTTAATTACCGTATACTGTAGTTTCTTGCTTGAATGCAATGAAATTGTACTAAACGTTTGGTTGAACCAATTTGTTTGTTGCGTAAGTAGATAGTAGAACCTAAGGGAAGTTTACACTAGCATGTAGCGCTTGCGTAAGTATGACATGCAAGCTGATGCAAACTGTACTTGCAAGTTAAGGCTTACACTACACACCTACCTTTGCAAGGAAACGTGCTTCAAGTCCATTCAGTACAGTTCTTCATCTGATGCGGAATAGAAAAGCAAATGATATTCCAATAGTATCGTGAAAAGCTATTTAGTATCTACATTGATAGAACTTAAGACCTACCTTGTTAACATCTTCTGGAATTCCAATTGTTTGGTTCTCCCTTGTCTTCACGACTGTTCCTAAAATGCGGTCGATTGTGGAAAACCACCTAAGTGTCGGAGTATACACGTTATCCAGACCAGATCCTGAAGACTTGCTTTTTGTTATTTTAAGTAGCTCGCTTGAATACGTATTTCCTAGTCTACGAATCTTCTGTTTACCCAACTAACAATTATCACTCCTATTAGAGTTGCAAGAATGATTATACAGTATTCCTTACACAGCATTGTATACTGTAAGAACATTGGCAAAACCCTCTTAGAACAGCTATACTTGCGGAATGGGCACACCTAATAAGACACCTTAGTCATTTAAGAGGTTGTATAAGGGCTGCAGTTAACAGTTATACACCAAAAGTGTAAGCCTCTTGCAGCCGCTATAGGACATTTGCGTCAGTGCAAGATTCAGTTTTTGTCAACTATACAACTATTTTGTTACGTGATTCTACTTTATTGCAACCAAACTATTTCTTATGTATTGTGTAGATTCGGCCATTGTGAATTTCATACACAGGTATATGATAAACTTCTACACTGTGATATAGGGCTATTGAATTACTTGCGCAGCAAATTTTATTGAGATTATCGTGCAAAGTAGTTACGCAATTTCTATGGGCTTCGTATTTGATTCATATTTTGATAGTGATCAAAAGTATGTCTAGATTTTTTAGATGGAAAACTGAACTTCTCTGCGTTAAATCTTCCACAAATCCTATATTTAGACACAATTACACTAATGTTTATCACTTTATATCTGTAATTTCGAACTGAAACATAATTATTTAATATCAAATAGAGGAATAAATGTTTGCCCAATATGGCGGGAGGTTGTGTATAATCATGGCATCGTCCATGTTGTCTTTAGTTTATTAGAATATTTTGGTGTTGCCTGCAGGTGTTATACAACAATTTGAGAAATGTCAAAAATGAAATACCGACAGAGTGGAATGATTTACCTAGAATTTGTACCAGATCTATATCTTCTGTTTGAACAGTTGATAAAACCTTTTTAACCAATATGCATGCGTTGTTTGTCTTAAAACATTGGTTATGGCATTTTAACAAAAATATGACAGCAGAAAGTTAGGTTATGGTGAAGTTGTATACCAACATATTTAGCATATGTACAGCCTTTAACAGTTACTAAACAACAGTTGTATAAGTACTTCCGTTGGGAGCAATTTGTTGGCTAAAGTAGTAAATTTGCACAGCAGAACCACAAGGCTCGGGTTTGTTATATAAACGTTACCATGAATGCCACAACACAACCATTTTGACTAACCTGCAAATATGCCGTATAAAATAGTTGTATAAACGTTTATGCAACAGTTAAAAATTTGTCCTATAAGGTGTTGTGTAACTATGCTATAAGAATATTTTAAACACCTCATTTTAGAGCAAATATGTTGCAGAAAGCAAATTTGCATTCCACATAACATTAAGCCAGCATTTTGGTGTTCAGGCAACAACAATAGAGAGCTTTTATGGCTGAACGGTTCTTTTACCAAAAGCTTATAGCACTACTTTGCTAGTTGGGTAGCTTCTTTAACGTTTAAGTTTTTTAAATTCATTGCGTTTACTATCTGTAACCAGGCTTCTTCTTCAACATTTTTGTCTTTGTACTCAGGCAATTTATAATCCCACAAACAAGGGTGTCTCTCACAAAGTTCCAAAAAAGATTCAGCAGTAGTTAAACTCCATTTATCTACCTTTTTGACTATTTTGCGTTCCTTCTTTACTGTATCGCTTCCCTATCACTGGTTCATCACCTTCATATTCATTGTTGAAGTGTGGATCAGCCATGTCAACTCAGTGAACAATATTGTAACACAAAGAACTCAATGCACAGAGCACACGACCAGACACTCTCGTCACTTGTTTACAAGTAGTAGTTGTCTGTAAGCAACAGGTTTACATCTAGCGCGCAAATGGAGCTTTCGCAAAAGTTGTTAGCTGCGCAAGTAGTTTCCGACAAAACAAAAAAAATGCGTGCAAGTCGGCGTTGCAAGTTAAGCTTTCATGCATTTTAGTGTCTACATTTGCAAGTTTTTCTACAAGTTGGATGTCAATAAAACTGACGCAAGCGCTACATGCTAGTGTAAACTGCCCTTTAGTAGTATTTGTTTTGTACAACTTAGTTAGTTCGCATGTAGTTGGGGTAGCCACTAAATGTCAAGGTCAATCTGAAAATAAGTGACTGAAAGCGAAACTCGTCAGTAGGTCGTCAAGGGTAGACTTAGAGGATCTGTCTAGTAAGGGGGGGGGGGATCGCATCATTCATGTTCAGGAAGACGTCGTCCTCGGAGCGGGGGTGGCGGCTGCATTCTTAAGCACTTACGCGGGTTGCAAATGCCATTGTGACAAACGAATAAGTGGGTGGAAATTGTTCAGGGGGAGAATCCAGGGCTAGCAGGGCAATTCTACACCAAGATGCGACAATACATTCTCTGAAAAAAAAGACAGACGGGCGTCTAGGGGGCGTCTTGTGAGTTTTCATGAGTAAAACGAATTGAGGATCTTTACGATCATAACACCTCCCTCCATTTTGGAGTAAGACGCAGAAAAACCCCTAATATTCTAATTACGTATTTACAACTTAAATGGTAGTCTGATTAGATATGGTTAAAGAAATATTAGATTAAATACTTGAAAAGATAACAGGAATTTAAACTGACATATAGGACAATGATCCCACAGTCACTGATGAAGTGTCATAGTGCGTGTGATTTACCGAAATCGAATTTCTCGTCGTAGCACTCTCGAGGACAATCTGCATTACAATGGCGCCTGAGGTCGTTAA